AGAGGACACAGAGGCACGAGGGTGGGTAACAAGAGAGGCGAGAACACGAGAGAGAACAGGACGGTACGTGCGGTAGTAGTCAGTGACAGGAGAAGGAAGCGACACAGTGAGGGCCGACTCAGGAGGAGACGGAAGCACAGACGGAGACGGTTGGACGAGAACAAAGGAAGGCTGTACGAAGGTCAGTGAAGGGAACAGGAGACGAGGGACGAGCACGAGGGGAGCGACGAGAGGCCCAAGTCTGAGAAGGAGGAGGAGACAACGAAGACTGAGAACGAGGGAAAACAGCGGGAGAGGGGTCAGGAGGAGGAAGCGGAGGACCAGAGACGGGAGGAGAGGGGGAGGAGGAAGGAGAGGGAGACGGGAGACCAAGGGTCCGAAGACCCGAGACAGGAGGAGGAGACGGCAGCAGCTGCTGCTGCTGCTGCTGCTGCTGCTGCCGCGGCTGCTGTGGCTGCTGCTGCTCCAGCGGCTGCTGCCTCTGCTGCTGCTCCTGCTGCTGCTCCTGCTGCTGTCGCTCCTGCTCCTCGAGCCGCTGCAACTCTCTCTCCTCTCTCTCCAACTCCAGCTGCTCCTCACGAGCACGGCGAACACGAGCCTGGAACCTGGTCGGGTAGGGGTGGGGGGAAGGAGTAGTGTCCGGGGCAGCGGCAGCCCCAGAGTCGACCTCCGAAGCACCAAGCACACCACCCCCAGAGGCAGCACCAACACCAGCTCCAGACCCAGGCTCTCCAGAAACCGAAGGGACACCCTCACCCCCAGACGCAGCACCCCCAGACTCCGCACCAGCACCCCCAGACTCCGCACGACCAGTACCAGCCCCCGGAAGACAAGAGTCCTCTGCAACCCGCGGCTCAGCTCCAACTCCAGCACCCCCAGAACTAGAGACCTGTACAGGGACAGTCGCAGGACCAACCTCCCGAGAGGGAGCACCTGCAGGAGGCGGCGAGGAAGACTGTGGGGAGGGAGGCTGTACAGGGGGGGCTACCGAAGGGGGAGGGCTGGCCTGAGACACACCAGACGGGGCTGGACCAGGGGGGGGAGGCTGTAGTGGGGGAGCAGGCGGGGGAGCGGCTGTCAGGAAGAGGGGGGGAGGAGGAACCGGGAGACCTCGACTGGGGTACCTGACGTAGTACGGGGTGGACTCCTCGAAACGGACGTCACGGGAGTCAAAGAACCGGTGAGAGGGAGGGTGGTAAAAGGTGAAGTCAGAGGAGTCCTCAGGGAAACCAAGGAAGACACAAGGAACGGCGCGAGGCGAGAGCTTGTCCGCGGAGGTGTCGCGGACAAGAGCCAAGCACCCCCAGACACGAAACCTCGACGCGACACCAGGGGACCCTGTCCAAAGACTGGTCGGTGAAGCCTCTGGCCGAGAGACGCGTGGCCAGAGGTTCAGCTGGTGCGCGGCGTACCTGACTGCGTATGGCCACAGGAAATGGGGGGCACGGGCGTGAGTCAAGGAGGTGCGGGCAATCTCCATGACCAGGCCTATGCGACGCTCAGCAACCCCATTCTGCTGTGGGGACTCCGGAAGCGTCCAGGACTGACGAATGCCCTGTTCGCGACAGAATCCAGCGAGAATGCCGGAGCGAAACTCGCCCCCGCGGTCGGAGTGGAGACAGCTGACACGACGACCACGAGTGTCCTGGGTGGTAAGCAACCACCTGATCAGCGTAGAAGTCACCTCAGACTTCCTCGCCAGGGGGAACACTGTGGTATAGCGGGAGTAGTCGTCAACGACCACCAAAAAGAAACGCTCACGCTCAGGGCCAGGGCAAGGAGAGGGGCCCCAGACGTCCAAGTGCAGCGTCTCAAAAGGCTCGGTGGCCGGACGAAGGGAGGAGGAGTGAGGGGTGGCACGCAGCCTACCCTCGACGCAAGGACCGCACGGTGGTGCAAGGGACGGCGGCAGCGACGGCAAGACACGCGGGAGACCTAAGACCAGACGCTGACTAGACATAGCACGCAGACGTGGAAGAGAAGGGTGTCCCATCCGGTGGTGCCACAGAACGGTGGGGTGGGCAAGCGACCGACAGGAGCAAGACGCAGCGACTGGACTGGACGCGACAACCTGAGGGGACGGAACCACCTGGTGAGACGCAGGGAGGAGACTAGGGGGAGGGACAGGAACTGGGAGGAGTGGCTGCTGCGACGGCGGCCGCTGTGGCTGCGGCTGCTGCTGCTGCCGCTGCTGAGGCTGCTGCTGCTGCTGCTGCAGTCGCTGCTGAGCGCGCGGGCCAGTGTGAAGAGTGTAGAGACCGGAGCCCGGCTCAGCAGCAAAAGTGGCGAGAGGCTGGTAAGAGTCCCCGTCAACACACACCGCAGTCTCTCCAGAAGGCTCAAACCACACACCCACGTGCTGACTCACAAGGGGTCGCACGCCCACCAAGTTCCGGGAGAACGAGGGGACGTGAAACCCAGTGAGAGACCCAGAAGGAGCAGCCGGACACGGCAAGGTGGTAGTGTGACGCGCGGTGACTGGTCCCGAAGTGGGATCAGCCAGCGCCACAGAAACAGGCGCAGGAAGAGGCGTAAGTGTCGTGCTGTCACGAAAGAAGCAGTGAGAGGCTCCAGAGTCCAGCGTGAACGACAGCGAACCGTCCTCTGAGGTAGCCGCTGGACTAGAGTCTACACAAGAACCTACACTAGCAACAGGCAACTGAGCAAGGCTAGCACCTAAGCTAACAACACCAGAGTAAGCAGAGTCAGAAACACTAGAGTCAACAACAGCATACATAGCATGAGGAGCACCAATCAGATCAACTAACTGCTCAGCAGACATGCCCCACAGAGCGGAGCCGTAGCGCTGAACCAGAGGAAGCCAGTCAAGGGCAGGACCGCCAACCCCGTAGGCCAACCGGACCGTGTCAGTGAGCTGAGCAAAGCACTGACCAGGGGGGTGAAAGCGGCCACAAGGGTGGCCCCGACGAGGACCTGTCAGAACCTGATAGGTGCAGGGAGGGTAAGCAGCACCACGCTGGGGCTGACGCAGCCCCGACCCCGGAGCCAGCTGCTGACGCTGCTGCTGCTGAGGCTGCTGGGAGGAGAGGGGCTGCTGCTGCTGCTGAAGCCGCTGCTGACGCTGAGCCTGGTACCACGCCGCTGCTCCACCTAGCGGGGCCGGCAGTACAGGAGACGACTGACGAGCTCGGGTGTCGCCACCACCAGCAGGCGCAGTGGAGTCACCAGCCGCTGCACGAGAGGTCTCTCCAGACGCTGCACTCCCACCACCGCCAGTCGCAACAGCACCCCCACTACCTCCGCTACCTCCGCCTCCACCTCCACCAGAACCACCTTTCTTGCCCCCCTTGCCGCGGGACCGCGACGCAGTCGTAACAGCAGCTGCAGTCGCGTCAGTAGCGGCAGTGGCAAGAGAGGCAGTGAAGGTGGGTAACTGCGGGACTGTGCACCCGTGGAAGAGTGGGGGGGGCACAGCACCAGAGGCGGCAGCTACCGAGCGAAGGTTGCTCTCGACGTCCTTGAGCGCAGACTCAAGGACCTCAACTGTCAGCTCACTAGGGTGCTTCAGCAGGAGCGCGTCACGTACGGAGGCAAGGCGGTCAGGGAGGCTAGTGGCGATGAAATAGATAGTAATCGCCATGGGGGGAGGAAGCAGTGCAAGCTGTGCCTAAATGCAAGCAGCGCGGTAACTAGCGTCGAGCGAGCGGAGGTGAGCGATCAAGTCAGCAGAGCGCTCAAACGAGGCGAGATCAGGAAACAGGAACGGGAGGAAAAGACGGCCAAGAGAGACAGTAGCGGGAGTAGAGTAGCGGGCCTTAATCGCAGTGAGGTACGCAGCAGCGGTGCGAACCTGAGTGAAGTGGACCTCCTCTGACTCAGGGAGGAGGCTGCTGAGTGCGATGCAGGCCGCAGCGTCACGCGACGTCCAAGCCGTCCTGTCAGCGCGCTGACGGGCAAAGCGAGCCGTAGCAGCATCGTCAGGGGCAGGACCTAAAGCGGCAGGCTCGGGGGGCTCGGGGAGGTCACCAGTAGCGTGCGACCAGAGGGTCTCGCCCCCCTGGACTTGACTCTCTAACAGACGGCGAGCGCGAAGGAGCCAGACGGAAAAGTCAAGAGGTCTGCCGTCAGCGTCGAAACGAAGAACTCGCGGAGTCGCCATAGCGAAAACTAACGCGAACGAGCAGGCGAGTAACAGCAGGAGGTAAGAGGCAAATTAGGGTTCAGGTGGGACTTAGTCGCAGCGGAAGAGCGGGCTAGAGCGACGGGCCAGGGCGTAGGGTCGACGGGACGGGGGAAAGGGCGGGCACGATGCGACGGGGCAGGGCGACGCGACGGGGGAGGGCGACGCGACGGGGTAGGGAGATGGGACGGGGCGACGGGACGGGGCAGGGCGACGGGACGGGACGGGGATGGGACGGGGCAGGGGCGACGGGACGGGACGGGGCGACGGGACGGGACGGGGCAGGGCCGCGGGACGGGACGGGACGGGGACGGGACGGGGCAGGGGCGACGGGACGGGACGGGGACGGGACGGGGCAGGGGCGACGGGACGGGACGGGGCGACGGGACGGGACGGGGCAGGGCGACGGGACGGGGCAGGGGCAATGGGACGGGGCAGGGCGACGTGACCGGGGGAAAGGGCGCGACGCGACGGTGGGAAAGGGCGCGACGCGACGGGGGGAAAGAGCGCGACGCGACGGGGGGAAAGGGCGCGACTCGACGGGGGGGAACGGGCGCGACGCAACGGGGGAAAAGGGCGCGACGTGACGGGGGGGAAAGGGCGCTAGGCGACGGGGGGAAGGGCGCTAGGCTCGGCACTAGGCGCGGTAACAACGGAACCGGTACGAACGAGAGGTAGGATCAGGCTCGGGAGATACGAACGGAGAACGGAGGAACGGGATCCCACAGGATCCTAACCTAACTGATACCATGTCAGAATGAGGAATGGATGATGCATTGATGTTGGTTGGGGTACATATAGCTAACCCTAAGTTTTGTACCCCCTAAGACAAACCTCACTATAGGCTACAACATTTGACATGTGGACTGCTGAAGGCGTGGATCGTAAATTCCGGATCGCGGCGCGCGGCGGCAAGCAGCAGGAGCGCGGCGACGGCTTCGTGAAGAGCATCGAGATTGACGGCGAGGAGATCCCTCGCATGCAGGTTGGCGATAGGGTTACCAGCGTCGGTGGAATGACGATCGAATTCCGCGGGTTAGAAAAGGAGGGCCCGTTCGATGTGGATTATTACATGCTGTCCATCGCAGGGTTAATTACCCTCGACCTGCGCCTGCGCGTCGCGCACCCCAAACTCCAGACCCCGACGGACGCCGAGGCGCACATCAACGTCGGGATTGCCGAGCTTGAGCACACAGACGAAATTCACGGAGTGCTCGGACAGACCTACCGCGCAGATCATGCTGCCCGCGCCGCGGATTTCCAGCGCCTCGTCGCGAACCTGCACCGTCCGATTTCCGCCGATGGCACGGAGGGGAAGGGGTTTTTGGATGGGACACCCCGGTCGTACGAGGCGAGCGATGTGTTTGCTGTGGACTGCGCTTATACCGCGTATGGCCGCGCTAGGAAGGTGATGCCTGTGCAGGACTTCCCGTAAAGAGATGACTCGGTGGGACTGATAGCGGGCTGTATTGTACCGTGGGCTGAAAACTCATTTACATTGCTAGGACATTTATGTTCCACATGCTCACGTTCAGTAGTTCTCACTAAATCATGTGTTTTTCCTTAGCCGGGTACACTACCTATGATCATGGTGCTCTGTTCTCAATATTGAGTAATTAGTCAAGCATCACGATATTTACAAGTCTATACACACCTTATTGTACCGTAGGTTCTGTCAAGGATTGGTTGGGATTTGTTGCCAGAAAACCAGCAGACTGGTGTTGGTATTGAAATCAGTAGTAGGCCATGTTTGATTAAAGAAGTGGGGAGCCAATCCAAGCCAGCATTGACAGCTCAAGAAGCAAGTCATCGCACCGGCCCACAATCTCTGGGAGGCCACACCTGCGAAGTGGGGATGAAAAAAAGCATACGGTAGCATAGCAGCCAATTCAGATCAGGAAAAGGTGAAGAGGTGAAAGGTATGGTCGTGCTGTGCTGTTTAGCATCTACCATACCCAATGCTCAGCTAGTCCGCTACTCACACTACCATCCACCAACTCTGTAAACCACCGGCTCTTTCTCACTCTGTCCCTCACTCCCTCTGCAGAAGACCCCCCTCCTCCACTCACTCGCTCTGTAAAAACCCTCCCCTTGACCAGAGCAAGGGGCATGTGACTGATGGCCAATTTCCGTTGACGTTGAAAGATTGATTACGTTCTATGACCACGAGGTCCGACTTTCATCCCCACCTACTATCGTCTCCCCCCACTCTCAGTCTAAAGGTGTTACTAAATCCCTCACTCACTCACTCACTCTGTAAACCTCTTGTGTCGACTCAAAAGTCACTCTCACTCTGCAAAGCTATGCTCTCCCTCTCCCTCTCCCTCTCCCTCCCACTCACTTTGTTGAAGACTGTTCCCTGGACCAGGGCAGGCGGCGTGGGGCCGTAGAGCCGCGAGTCAGCGGCTTTGACGAGATTGTCTCCCTGCTGTGTCCACATGCTCTCATCGCTAGACCTTTCCCCAAAAGCTAACCCTTTACGCTCTTACTCTCTTTTCTACTCCCCCTCACTCACTCTGTAGAAGACTCTTCCTTTGACTAATGCCAGGGGCACCGGGCCGTAGTGGCGAGAGTCGGTGGAATTGAAGAGATTGTCTCCTTGCAACCATACGTGGCCTCGTGGGACCTGATGCAGTGGAGGGGAGTGCAGTGCGGTGGAGGGAAGTTGGTAGCTGGAACAATAAGAGGGAGCTGGTGGTGGCAGAACAGGGGAAGGGCAGTTACTTACTGGTGCAGCGAACGTGACTGGGAAAGTGTAGGGAAGGTGCAGGGAACATGACAGGGAAAGTGTACGGAAGGTGCAGGGAACATGACAGGGAAAGTGTAGGGAAGGTGCAGGGAACATGACAGGGAAAGTGTAGGGAAGGTGCAGGGAACATGCCGCAATGTGCATGCACGAGGGGGCAACATGAGTCAAAGAACCCCATGTCATACTCGCTCGCCACTATATACATCAAATCAACCGCCTCAGATGTCGTACTTTTGAGGCACCTCGTGCCCCTCCATCGCCATTATGCACATGCACACCATCATGCGCGGGTTGGAGGGGGAGACTTGGCGACTACAGGCGTGAATCACCCATCACTACAGCAGCATACTCACCACAGTATGGGCTTCCGCATGCTTGCCTCGTCCGCCAAACACCATCCCTCTGGCAGCCGGGGGAGGCATGGCATGCACCTCATGCCCCTCCATCGCCACGATCCGCTTGCACACCATCATGCGCGGGTTGGAGGGGGACTTGGCAACTACAGCTGTGAATAACCACTACAGCAGCTATACTCACCACTGTATGTGTTTCTGAGTGCCTGGTGGCAGGAGGCATGGCATGCACCTCATGGCCCTCCATCGCCACGATCCGCTTGCACACCATCATGCGCGGGTTGGAGGGGGGAGAGATGGTGTGGTGACGAGGAGTGTATTCACCACTCTTGAGGCTACACTCACCACTGTATGTGTTTCCGCATGCCTGCTTCTTCCGCCAATCACCATCCCTCTGGGTGCTGCAGGAGGCATGGCATGCACCTCGTGCCCCTCCATAGCCACAATCCGCTTGCACACCATCATGCGCGGGTTGGAGGGGGACTTGGCAACGACTATGTCGCCGGGCTTTAAGGCGTGCAGCGCGGGCGTGATGTGCTCTAGTAGAACCACGTCCCCTGCCGCATTCAATGTTGGCAGCATGCTGGGCCCCATGCACTGGAACAGAAGGATTGGGGGTATATGGAAAGGAAAGGGGGAGGGGGGTATGTGTCAGAAGGGCAGGGCTTTCTAGGCCACTTTGCGTGAGTGGGATGGGAATTGGAAAGGAGCGTGGAAGGGGGGTTAGAGGGGGACTTGGCGACGACAATGTCGCCGGGCTTTAAGCCGTGCAGGGCAGGCGTGATGTGCTCTAGCAGGACGACGTCGCCTGCTGCATTCAATGTTGGCAGCATGCTGGGCCCCATGCACTGGAACAGGAAGGCGATCGAAGGAGTGGGTGTGTGGGTGAGGTGGGAGAGGAGGGGGTTTCTATGGGTAAACAAGGACGGGCGTGATGTGCTCTAGAAGCACCACGTCCGCTGCTGCATTCAATGTTGGCAGCATGCTGGGACTTATGCACTGGAGTGGAGGGGGATCAAGGGGGAAGAGTTGAATGCGGGCAAAGAATAGGAGTGAGAAGGAGACTTCAACGTAGTGAAGTCATATCATGACGTATCAGAGTGACATCATCACCTACCAAAATGACGTCATCACGTACCATGGTAACATCCATGATGACGTAGTTACCATATTTGCACCATGCAATATTGGTCATCAAATACCATGATGACATCATCAGAACCAGAGTGACGCCATACGTACCAGAGTGAGGTCATCACGTAACTTTATGACGTCATCACGTACCATGGTAACATCCATGACGTAGTTGGTGAACACATGATAGCAGCACGCGAATTGGGTCATCAAGGCCGCTCTGTCCCACGCCTCTCGCAGCAGCGCACGCCACGTCATCGCACAGCCTACGTGGATTCGAATGAGAATCTGACGTGGACGCTTACGTCAACGCTGACGTGGACTAACGTGCTGCAATCATGGGCGTTGATGACTACAACTCCATCAGGCTAAGTTAGCCTGACATGCGAAATTCGCCAATCACTGCCTTTGGATAATCAAACAAGGTGACGATCGAGTCGACGCAAGCTCACAGATACCCGTTATTGGCTTAATAGAGCGTTGTATGATACGAGAGCGGCAGCCTCGGCAGAATCGTTGAAAGAGGTTGTAATATGAAGTGGGTTGGATACGCCAATCTACTTTAAGCGAAACAAAAGGACTCGGCGAAACGAGAGGAGTTGGCGAAGTTGATGAGTTGGCGAAATGAGAGGAACCTATACGGAGTGAGGGGTCTCAGATGGGTAATGTGGAATCAGTACACGTCAGCGTGGGTCAAGAGCACATGGAAACCCCACACGGCCACACGCTTCGCAAAGCCCGGAACTATGGCAGATTATTTAAGCCTTCCAAACTGTTCGCGGCGAAAAATGCGTCTGCGGATTCCACGCATTTAGTCAGTCTGTGTTCTGGAGCAGCTATGGCTGACGCTAGTTATTGAGGGTGAGGTGTTATTGAGGGTGAGGTGTCTCAAAACTCACCTAGTTTGAGTGACCTGTTTTCGCGGGTTACGAGTTGGATGAGATAAGGTCGTGTTTTGAAAAAGGAGTTCGGGGATTCTTGGTGTCAATAGGTTCGTGATGTGGTGCTAGTGTCGATTGGGCTGGCAGCTTTTGCGAATGGGCAAAGCACGAAGGTGAGGTGCGCCTTGCGACATCCAGCTTTACTCGCTCGTGAGGCCTGTTTGCAAGGTCTGAATCGGCAACGAAAGCGAACCTAAGACTGTCGCCTGGAAACAAAGTTACCGTGTTGATGGATTCGGATTTCTGCCACTGCTGTCCCCGAAATAAACAAGAATGGGCCCTTACGGAATGTGCTTGTTTGACAATTTCAAGATTACGTTTAGTTCTGGTGTACAGCGGTCCAACACGGTGAAGTGCAGTATTCAATCTACAACGTGGAATGATCAACCACGATAATTTGCACCACGCTGAGCATATTTTCTCGATCCCAGCCGCACTTCGCGCCATTCACGGCCACACAAGCATGCTTAGTAGAGTTGAAACGTGGAACACAGGTTAGCATCGATCGCTGGCGCTGTTCCTGTTACACCTTTATGGTCTAGTTCAGCAAGATAGTTCTAATTTTCATCAGTTGTGGATCTTATGCGATTAAAATCTGTCAAGGCTTGACCAGCACGTCTGCTAGCCTCCTGTTCACCGTGCGAGAAATTTGTTTCTCGGAATTTTCGAGGATAGCTCGCCGCCATGTCGTCTGACGAGAGTCGTTTGCGCGAGGCCGTCACGGCGATCCTAGAAGCCGGCGACCTGGAAGAATTGACCGAGAAAAAAGTCCGTCAGTTAGCGCGCGAGAAGACGGGGATTGACACGTCAGCCGATGCGAACAAGCAACTAATTCACAAGATAGTTAAAGCCTTCGTGGCGGAGGAATCGGAGGATCCAATAGAGAAGACGCGGAAGAAGCGGAGAAAGGAATCGGATGAGGACAGCGGGAGTGAGAAAGAGGAGGAAGAGGAAGAAGAGGAGAAAGGGAGGGGAAAGTCGCGGAAAGGCGGGAAGAAGTGGAAAGTGGGTGACAGCGGAGAGCTTGTGATTTGCGAGGTGAGATCGTGTGGTGAGGTGAGATTGAGACGTTTTAGATGCGGTTGACACAGTATAGGCCATTGGAAAGGGTGAAGAAGTGGAAAGTGGGTGACGGCGGAAAGCTTGTGATATGTGAGGTAAGATTGACACGTGTTAGATGTGGTCAACATGAGTGATATAGGGTTGAGAGTGGGAGAAGGTTGACGTGAGTGAGATGCGTTTGACAGGGGTGATAGAAAATTGTCAAGTCAATCTGCTCTCTCAAGGAAGTCTAGCCATTTACAGAGAGAACTCATCGGCGGCGGAACGGGACAGGTTCGGGTGCAAGGTCGGGGCTAGGTTCGACGGAGGGGTTCGAGAGATATGATAGGGTGCAGATGGGTGTGGATGAGGAGGTGACAGGGGGGTGGCAGTTGAAAGATTACTTGAGAGGCCGAAGGATAGGGTGAGAGGTCAGGTGGTGGTATGGTTGTTGCGACGCAGGCAAGGATACATTAGTATCTCCCAGGTACATTACGAACAGTAGCAACTTGGAAGATGCTAGTGTATCCTTGCATGCGTCGCAACAACCATACCCCCACCTGACCTCTCACCCCATCACTTGGTCTCTCAGGCAATCTCTCCGCTGCCAACCCCCTTGTCACCTCATCCACAGCCACTTTGCACCATATCATGCCTCTCGAACCCCTCCGCCGACCCAAACCGCGACCTTGCATCCGATCTTAGCCCATTCCGCCCCTACAGCCATGACAGGCTCTTCATGATTGATGCATGCAGCCATTAACAAAGTATATGAGGATGTCTCAATAATTTATGATGAGAATCAGTGGTTGATTTCAATGTTGAGTCGACGGGTGTTCATGCGCCATTGTGTTGATTTATCGGTGTTTTTCATTCGCCGTGCAGTTTTTTGTTTGATGGATGTACGTACTGCTGCCCATGCAGCCATAGTGACCGGCAGAGTTGATTTCTAGTCAACCTTGCCTTCCCTCACCCTCCTTAAAAATACCATTTCTGCACAGTTGTCTGGGGAGTGGAAGCCAGCAGAGAGTGAGTTCGAGAGGCATTTGCTAGGGTGTTGAGCTGGCTGAAACTCAAAACTCATACCATATCTACCCTGCCTTCCCTCACTGCCCTTTCATGAATCGTTGATGCACAGCTGTCTGGGAAGCGGAAGCTAACAGTGAGTGAGTTCAAGGGGCGCTTGCTGGTGTCGATACGCGAGTACTATGACAAAGGCGGCAAGGAGATGCCTTCCTCTAAAGGTGGGTGCACTATCCCCCTGACCCTCCCCGACTCTCTCCAATCCTCTTTAACTGCAACCCTCTTCGACTCTCCTACCTTCTCCAACCCTTCCAAACTTTTTCCGGTCCCTTGAACAAGTGGGTGAGTTCAAGGGGCGCTCGCTGGTGTCGATACGCAAGTACTATGAAAAGGGTGGTAAGGAGATGCCCTCCTCTAAAGGTGGGTGCAGGAGTGACTGCTGAGTCGACTCACAAGGTGAGTGGGTTCAACGGGCGGTTGCTTGCTCGTGTCGATAAGCGAGTACTATGACAAAGGCCGCAAGGAGATGCCTTCTTCTAAAGGTACATTATCCCTCTTGACCCTCTTTGATCCCTCTAACACGTGGGTGAGTTGAAGGGGGCGCTTGCTGGTGTCAATACAAAAGTAGTGGAGCAAAGGCGGCAAGGAGATGTCCTCTTCCAAAGGTGAGTGCATTTATTCTCTAACCCTCTTTGACCCCCTGACACATGAATGAGTAACGCTTGCTGGTGTCGATACGCGAGTACTGGAGCAAAGATGGCAAGGACATGCCTTCCAATAGAGGTCGGTGCAGACAGGAGTAACTTTTGAGTCGACCCAAAAGGTGGCAGTGAATGAGTTCAAGGGGCAAGGAGATGCCTTCCAATCAAGGTGGGTACAGGAGTGACTTCGGTATCGACTCACAACGTGACAGTGAGTGAGTTCAAGGGGCACTTGCTTGTGTTGATACACAAGTATTATGGAAAAGATGGCAAGGAGATGGATGGTCCCCTCTAAAGGTAGGTGCATAATAAAGAAAAATGTTCTACACCACGCTTCACTGAAACAATATCGCCTTCACTACCACTCCCAGATACACCAGACCAGATGTGCCTGCAGTGCCTGCTACTATACATGTTTGGTTCAGTGCAGACATGTGTTGTGGAGTTCGTCTACACGGGCGGTTCAGTGCCTTACCATTATTTTTCTCATTGACAACCATATTCTCTGTTCATGCAGGAATCAGTCTCCCCCCGACCAATGGGATAAGCTGGTGCGACAATGACTAACATGTGTTCCGTCGGAGTCCAGACGTGTGTTTTTCAGTTCACCACCTCACCACCTTACCATCACTTTTCTCCTTGGCTGTACGGTATTCTCTGTTCATGCAGGAATCAGTCTTCCCCCTGACCAATGGGATAAGCTGGTGAGGCACATTGATACTGTACAAGAGGCCATTGACCACTTGTCATAGTGCGGTATGGTAGATGGATCGACTTTGAGCCGACTCTCGCAAGTCCGCACAGTATAGGAAGCCACTATACAATAGCCATAGAAATCTTGCCATAGGCCATTGATACGGTAGATGGATTAACATTTGAGCCGACTCGCGCAAGTTCGCACAGTACAGGTAGCCACTGTACACTAGCCATTGAACTCTTGCCATAGGCCATTGGTACTGTAGGTGGATTAACGTTTGAGCCGACTCGCGCTAGTTCGCTGAGTATAGGAAGCCAGCAATTGTACACTAGCCATTGTGCATCCCCCTCTCGACTTTTGTGACAACCTGACCAATGGGATATGCTGTTGAGGCACATTGATTTGTACAGGCAGGAAGTCATTGAACACTTGTCATGAGGTGTAGAGTCAACAGATAAACACAAGAAACCTAGGGAAAACCTACAGATGGTTTTCCCAGCAAAACGACACCCAGTACCATCAAAATGACAATGAAATCTGGTGGCTTCCAGTTTTGCTATTTGTTAACAAGAGAGCTTGTTAAAACAAGTGATGTATTTACCAATAACTTCATAGCATCTCCACACACCACACTAAAGGATGACAAACGCTATGCTGCTGGCTCTGTTTAAAAAAAAGAGGATGGATGGCTATACATTATAAGCAGCCGAAACTGCCCAAACTAGGAGCAAGAAAGGGTGTTAGGCAGTGCAGTTGAGATTTCTCTGCCAGTGATGTTTACAGAAACGGAGACTATAAAGTCAGCAGATGATGTTAAGCAGGGTAGAGGGGGTTTTTCCCTCCTTTGATTCGCCGAGCCAGCTGGATGTCTCGAATCACTGGCACCACAGATGTGGGGTGGGGAACGGGGGGTGGGGGACGGGGGGTGGGGGACGGGGGGTGGGGGAGCGGGAGCACATTGACGTTAAGCAGGGTAAAGGGGATGTACCCTCCCTTAATTCGCCGAGCCAGTTGGATGTCTCGAATCACTGACACCACACGTGTGGGGCGTGGGGGAGGGGGGGGGGGGGGGAGAGGAGGGGAAAGAGGATGGGGGAGGGAAGGAAGGAGGGGGAGGGAAAAGGAGGGGGAGGGAAGGAAGGAGGGGGAGGGAAGGAAGGAGGGGGAGGGGGGGTGGTAGAAGGAAGGGGAGGGGGGGGGGAGAGGGAAGGAGGAACGGGACAGAAAGCAAGAGGGCTTACAAGTGGTGAAGTGTATGTTGTCACACACAGACACACAGACACACAGACACAGACACACAGACACAGACACACAGACACAGACACACAGACACACAGACACACAGACACACACACACACACACACACACGCACACACACACACACACACACACACACACACGAGAAATAAATGCCTTGTTTTGCAGTGAGAACGAAGCTGCTTACTTAAAGTGACTCTTTTGGAGTGTATGGCGAGCAGCAGTCCGTCTTCAAACAAGTTCACGAGATAGGCCTCTGCTGCCTGATGGGGGGGTGAGAGGTGGGGAGGTGGGGAGGTGGGGAGGGGGGGGGGAGGTGGGGAGGCGGGGAGGGCATGCTAGCCACTCTTTTGGAGTGTATGGCGAGCAGCAGTCCGTCTTCAAACAAGTTCACGAGATAGGCCTCTGCTGCCTGATGGGGGGGTGAGAGGTGGGGAGGTGGGGAGGTGGGGAGGGGGGGAGGGAGGTGGGGAGGCGGGGAGGGCATGCTAGCCACTCTTTTGGAGTGTATGGCGAGCAGCAGTCCGTCTTCAAACAAGTTCACGAGATAGGCCTCTGCTGCCTGATGGGGGGGTGAGAGGTGGGGAGGTGGGGAGGTGGGGAGGGGGGGAGGGAGGTGGGGAGGCGGGGAGGGCATGCTAGCCACTCTTTTGGAGTGTATGGCGAGCAGCAGTCCGTCTTCAAACAGGTTCACCAGATAGGCCTCTGCTGCCTGATGGTCCGCGGGTGGGGTTGGGTAAGGGGAGGAGGAAGAGGACGGAAAGTGTGTGAGCATGCTAACCCCTTGTCTGAGCGAAAGGCGAGCAGCAGTCCGTCCTCAAACAAGCTCACGAGATAGGCCTCGGCTGCCTGATGGAGGGGAGAGGGTACTGAGCGTGTGTGAACATGCTAGCACTTGGTTAAAGCGTATGGCGAGCAGCAGTCCGCCTTCAAACAAGCTCACAAGATAGGCCTCTGCTGCCTGATGGTGGGCGGGGAGGTGGGGAGGCGGGGAGGCGGGGAGGTGGGGAGGCGGGGAGGCGGGGAGGTGGGAGGTGGGGAGGCGGGGAGGCGGGGAGGCGGGGAGGCGGGGAGGGGAGTATGTGAGCATGCTAGCCACCCTTTTGGAGTGTATGGCGAGCAGAACACCGTCTTTAAACAAACTCACGAGATAGGCCTCTGCTGCCTGATGGTGGGGAGCAAGTGGAGATATAAAGCAAAGAGTGTGTGAGGAAGGGTATAAGACCATGGGTATAAGACCATGGGTATAAGACCATGGGTATAAGACCATGGGTATAAGACCATGGGTATAAGTCCATGGGTATAAGACCATAAGCGGAGACTGTGAGCGATTCGCACCACCCCAATCCCTTCCACCGCATTGCACACAGCCGCACTCCATACCACCCCTTCCCACCTCTTGCAGCCCCAGAACCGCATCAGCAGCGCATCGCACATCCTGTGTGATGAGCGATTGACAGATCCCGGACAGCTTTTGCTCGCCCACAAACACCGCACGCCCTACCACCGCACTTAATTCCACCGCACTCCTTACCACCGCACTCAATTCCACCGCCCTCCCTACCACCTCACTCTCTTCCACCGCACTCCCTACCACTCCACACCTCCGCACACCCTACTATCGAACGTCCATCACTCCATACCACCACACTCCCTTCCACCGCACTCCACACTACTGCACTCCCTACCACCCCTTCCCACCTCTTGCAGCCCAAGAACGACGGTAGCTGTCCATCACACATCCTGCGAGGTGAGAGTCTGAGATATCTTTGATAGCCCGTGTTCGCCCACCACCACCGCACTCCCTTCCACCGCACTCCCTACCACCGCACCCTCTACCACCCCTTCGCACCTCCTGCAGCCCCAGCACGGCTGTAGCAGTCCATCGCACGTCCATCGTGGTGTAAGTGTGAGAGATCTCCTTGCACTGGTGGCAACAAGGGGAGGGAGAGGGAGAGAGGGAGAGAGGGAGAGAGGGAGAGAGGGAGAGAGGGAGAGGGAAAGGGAAAGGGAGAGGGAGAGGGCGTCTGAGCTATCTCCTTGCGCTGGTGAGAGAAAGAGGAGGGGCGTCTAAGCTATTTCCTCACACTGATGGCAACAAGGGGAAGGATATACAGGGGAACGTGGGGATAGGGAACAGCGGGGTGGACAGTCCCATCGCACATTCTGCGCCGTGAGCATCTGAGCTATCTCCTTGAAGTGCAAGTAGAGGGGGGGGAGGGAGATGGGGGAGAGAATGGAGAGGGATGTGGTGGTGTTGGGTGGAAGAGAGGGGGAGAAGGGGCGGCAGGAAGGCAAGCCATCTCACATCCTACGTGGTGAGCGTCTGAGCTGTCTCTTTGCACTGGTGACAGCAGTGGGAGGGGCAATGTGGGGGGAGGGATGTGCGGGGAGGACAGTAGAAGGCAATGTGATATTTACAGAAATACAACAAATACAACATCACTTAATTACGTTTTACTATTTCTAAGATATGATTATGCCAGGACCAGTAGCACAATCCAACCAATCTAATAGCTTGATTTGCGGGTTCAATACCCGCCTGGTCCTTTTCATTTTCCAAATATTTGTTGAATGTCCTTGGAAGGAAAATCAAGGATCCTGATTTTGTTCTTTTTTCCTAGCTCTTATTTTTTGGACCAAGGGGGTGTTCTGGATCAGATTGACACAACTAAAACAAAGGATCGTGCAAGTGGACTCAGTTGCTGACACCGCACATATCACTAACCAATTTATTATCTAAAAGAGCGTAAATGTAACAAATAACTCAGTTGTAACTTATAGTCATATAATCCAGAGGCTTGCAGGGGCAAAGGAGTGAGGAGAGAGGTGTTTGGACAGGAGGGCGGCGGGAAATGGAAGGGGTCGGGGAGAGGGAGAGGGAAAGCAGCACAAAAACAGAACAAGAGGCAGGTTGGGGCAATTGTTTAAAGTAATCTCCTTGCACGGGTTGCGAGATGACGAAACTTACAAGTCTCATGAAGGGAAGCTTGCAAACAAGGAGGTCCGTGGTCTTCTGGTACCTCCTTGCATGGGCTGGGAGATAATGGAACTTACGACTCGCATACATACAAATCACGACTCGCATACACAAAACTTACAAGTCGGATGAAGGGTAGCTTGCGAATGAGGAGGTCCGTCGTCTTCTGGTACCTCCTTGCATGGGCTGGGAGGGAGATGATGAAATTTACGACTCGCATACACGAAACTTACAAGTCGCATGAACGGCAGCTTGCGAATAAGGAGGTCTGTGGTCTTCTGGAACCTCCTAATCTCCATTAGTGCCACTGTTCCCGGCCGGTAGCGGTGCGGCTTGCGCTTGACGCCTGGGAGCAAGGTAAGACGAACGCAATGGATGGAAGGGAAGAGAGGGGGGGTAAGGAGGTCCGTGGTCTTCTGGTACCTCCTGATCTCCGTTAGTGCCACTGTTCCCGGGCGGCAGCGGTGCGGCTTGCGCTTGATGCCTGAGAGCAAGGTAAGGCGAACGGAACAAACAACCAAGGAAGGGGACGATGAGACGTCTCAGAACCTGCTTGTGGGCTAGGCCGCCCTCCGAACGAGAAAACTTGTGAGACGCGTTATTGGTGTGAAAGACGCGTCGACCCTGCATCCAAGGTGGGGTGGGGAAAAGGGGGGAGGAAGGTGGAAAAACGGGGGGAGGGAGGGAGGCGGGGGTGAGGGGTGTGGGGGAGGAGGAGGAGGGAAAAAAAAGTGTAAACAGGTATAATCACTAGCGTGCTTGAAAGTTTGTTTCGAGGCGCCTTAAAAAAAGTTGGTTTAGATGGCACATTTGCCACAGTCAACCTGACATGACTAGCATGATCGACATGACTAGCATGATCGACATGACTAGCATGATCGCTCCTGGCCCAACCTTTTCAACTATTCGAAAAAGGGTTAAAAAAAGCTTCAGGGATTGCATAAGCGCTCCTTCGAAAAATATATCCACGCGGGAATCACCTCAGGCCGGGACTTCTCAGTCTGTTCCGCCCGGAGCGGACTTCTCAGCCTGTTCCGCCCGGAGCGCCTTCAACATTTCAGAAAAACTTAGGCGCTTAACTACGGGCGGGACCTCACCGTCTGTTCCGCCCGGAGCGCCTTGAACGTTTCAGACAAACCACGACGTGTTTACCTTCGGGCAGAACCGCTCTGGCTGTTTTATTTTCGGTGCCTTGTGCAGCAGCCACCGCCGCCGCCGCCATTCGAGGCAACGCAGAGAGGCGCTTACCTTCGGGCAGAACCGCTCTGGCTGTCTTTTTTGGGGTGCCTTGTGCAGCAGCCACCGCCGCCGCCATTTGAGCAACACAAAGAGGCGTTCTGGCGTTTCAGACAAACCACGACGTGCTTACCACCTTCGGGCGGTATTGTTCTGGCTGTTTTAGTTTCGGTGCCTTGTGCAGCAGCCACCGCCGCCGCCATTTGAGGCAACACAGAGAGGCGCTTTACCTTCGGGCAGAACCGCTCTGGCTGTCTTTTTTGGAGTGCCTTGTGCAGCAGCCACCGCCGCCGCCGTCATTTGAGGCAACACCAAGAGGCGCTTACCTTCGGGCGCTCTGGCCGTTTTTTTTGGAGTGCCTTTAGTGGCTTTAGCCGGCGTCGAAGCCGACTCCACCGCCGCCGCCGCCGCCGCTGCTGCTGCCGCCTTGCTCCGCCTGGGCATGCGCTGCTTCGACCTCGCCATGCTTATAACGAATCAGAAGTGTACGATAGAAAAACTAACGTAAAAACTCTCTTGCTACGTAAGGGCACACAACTTCCAAGACAGTTTTTTCCAACGAGTCTCGAGGGACCAGCGCCTGATCAACCCTAAGATCCTCCTATGAAAGTCCCAGTTAACTCGGGATTACTAAACTTCCTCTGTCACTATGCCTCGTCAGGGCAGAGCATTTGCTTGCCGGACCAAACGCCCTTTGCTCTTGCTCAAGTCTATGAGGCACCAACTTTTCTTTTGCTACGAAAACACCGGCAGGGTCAATTATTCCTGTATGTCCTCGTTTGAAATTAAAAGCGGGCTAAATAACCGTGTGGTCAAAATGGGGATTGGTCCAGAATATCAACGAGCAGAAGTGACCACGGAGTGACAAGGAATTGACATTGAAGAGTGTCGGAGAAGTGACTACGCAGTATGGAGAAGGAACAATAATCGAGCGAAGGAAGCTGTTACGGCTGCACTGGGCTTCTGCAATGGGGTGAGGAAATACGAACGAAGAAATCGAGGTGCATGCAGCCATGCAAATTGGCAGCACCACAGTGAAGGTTCGTGCACGAGCTGACTTCTTAACGGTTTGGAACCATCTTCTACGGTTTCAGAAAGTTTCAGAAACATTTAAAGCGGTTGAGAAGGCCTTGCGCGTACCTCACGAAGTCTGTAACATTGGAAGTGCGTCGTTCGAGATGAGAGCGCGTCGTTCGAGATGAAGACGCGTGGCAATGAAATGACCAATCCGTAACGTTTGCGCACTTCGCAATAAGAAGTCAGCTACGTGCTTCGGAATGGTCTCTTGTTCCACCAGAGACCTTATCGAATGTCCCGTTATTACAGGAGGGTTAAAATTATACACAGAAGCTGGTACATGCGAAGTGCTTCATTACTATGACATAAATACCAATGGTACTTACAATGATTCTTTGAGTATACTACTTGAGATCATAGCTATACGTTTTGGAAAGATGAAGAAATTCTGCCAATGAATTAGGAAGGAAAATTATTCAAGGGGGGGAGTGAGACAACGTACGGTACGATTACAAGCTATTTTGGAAAAAACACTCGTACCGGAAACGGGGATGAAACATTTCCTATACATTCTTAGATAATGCATCAGCGTCAGCAGCTGCAGATTTCACAGCAGCCTCTGCAGCCTCAGCTGAGCTGGCCAACCCATGGGCTTTGAGCAGCTGAGTAAATGACTCCACTTGAGTGGCATCAATCTTATAAGGAGAATAGCGTGCGGACGGGAATGCGCGAGAGGTTACATCCTCTCTAAAAGTGTTCAGCGCCTGTTGAATTGCCTCGCCCACTTGGCCGAATGCCTTGCAAAACTTCGGGGTTACCTGCTCGGATAGCAACACAATATACGGTAATAATCTTACTATGAAATAGTGAGGGTCATATTGAAGACCATTCTAATCCCCTGGGCAGGCAGGGGTTGAGCTGGATACAAGCATTTCTCATTTCGAAACGCTATCACAATGGAATCTTGAACACTCTGTTACCAGCCTCGGCAGTACAGCAGAGGATGTCATCAGCAAAAAGGTGTTACACTCAGAAAGATATGGGTGTCGAAACATATACCTTGGCGTGGTGTGGGTGTTGAATCATCCCCAGAAGGTCATGGTATACTAACACCTGGATGGGATGAGGGAAAGCCATGCGTGCATACGGGTGGATTGAAGGGTGGGGAGGTTGAGGCAAGCATGGGAGAGACAGGCATGGGAGAGACAGGCATGGGAGAGGCAGGCATGGGAGAGGCAGGCATGGGAGAGGCAGGCATGGGAGTTGCGAGAGGATGTGGGGTGAAGATAAAATACATTTCTTGAAAAGCACAGAAAACCGCGTACAACACAAGGGATGTCGACAGCAGCTGCGCTGGCAGCAAAACATGCTGTGCTCAAAATCAGGTGAGGGAAACAAAGCACTTCACTCAGAAAGATGGTACTGAGTCGCACGCACTGCTCAATTTCCGTCACTTGCCATTAGTGAACAACCGTCCCTGATAAGACAGATTATTGGTGCCTGTGGTGGTCAATGCAACAGCAACTGTGACAGCCGCTGCCACCACTGCTGGCATGCACTCCAAGGCAGCCTGGCACTGCCTCACCCTCCACCTCTCCACACCCTCCACAACCCCCTTCTCTCACCCCTCCACCTCTCCACACCCTCCACAACGCCCTTTTCTCACCCCTCCACCTCTCCACACCCTCCACAACCCCCTTTTTTCACCCCTTCACTTCTCCACCCCCCCTTACCCCACCTATCCTCACCTCACCAACAGCAGCTGTGACTGCTGCTGCCACCACTGCTGCCATGCACTCCAAAGCAGGCTGGTTGTTGGGCAGGCTGAAATAGCACCACCTCAACCCCTCACTTCTCCCACACCCCTGCACTTCACCCCCTCACCTGCCCACTGCAGAGCGGCCCTGCGCCAATGCCGATGGTGGGAATGTCAACAGCTGCTGTGACTGCTGCTGCTACCACTGCTGGCATGCACTCGAGAACCACTGCGAAGCACCCAGCTTCCTGTAACGCCTGCGCGTGTTGTACCACCTGCGAGAGAAGGGAGAGGAGGTTGCGAGAGGGTGAGAGGGAATGCATGAGATTGAACACCACTGCTGGCATGCAGTCTAGCACCACACAAAGCCCAGATTCTTGTAATGCTTTCGCGCGCTGAACGGCTTGTGAGTGGGGATGGCATAATGGGCATGTGGAGTCAGAAATTAAGCTGCCATTCGCTACTGCCTCAAGAACTACTGCAAATCAATTTTTGAGGCGCCTCAAGAATCAGAAATCAAGCTGCCAACCACTACTGCCTCAAGAACTACTGCAAAAATACCCGCCTTCCTGTAACGCCTGCGGTGTTGATGTTACTTTTGAGAATTCCCAAAAGTAACATCAACTTCCTGTAACGCCTGCGCGTGTTGTACCAAACGAGGGAGAGAGGGAGTGGGAGGAAGATGAGAGAGCAAGGTTATGTGAGTTCGGGTTGACTCAAACGCAACTGCCTAGCACGCACTATCTCAACACTACAATAAAGCACCCTGCTTGCAAGGCCTATGCGTACTGCACAGCGTGAGTGAGAGGCCCCAGTTCCCACCTCCCCCAGGTGCCACCCACCTTGAGCGCACTGGCAGATGATCCGCCCTAGAATCACAACTTTGACCTCCCTTGTGTCCGACCTCCTCCACAATCTCACCTTGAGATAGTGGCAGATGGTCTGCCCTGAGGGTACGAGTTGCACCTCCTTTTGAGACGTCTCAAAAGTCAAGTTTGACCTCCTCCCTTGTGTCCAACCTCCTCCACTATCTCACCTCAGGAGCACTGGACTGGCAGATGATCTGCCTTGAGTTCACGAGTTGCACCTCCTTCCTAGCATCCAGCTACCCCCACATCCCACCTTCCCCAAGCCCCACCCACCTTGAGCGCACCGCTCTAGAATCACAAGTTTAACCTCCTCCCTTGTGTCCAACCTCCCCCACTATCTCACCTCGGGAGCCACCCACCTTGAGCGCACTGGCAGAGGATCTGCCTTTCCCGAGGTGAGATAGTTGCACCTCCTTCCTAGCATCCAGCTATCCCCACATATCACCTTCCCCAAGCCCCACTAAACCTTGCATCCAACTACCAACACTATCCCACCTTGAGAGCACTGGCAGCGGACGTGCCCTGGGATGGTCAGTTCCTCACACCGCTGCCAAGAACCACCTGTGCAGGTCCCACCTTCCCCAGGTCTCACCAGATCCCACCCACCTTGAGCGCACTGGCAGCGGATCTGCCCTGGGGGCGGAAGCCTCCCAACGAGCTGATGGCTTGCAGAGTGAGCCCCACATGGCCCACATCCCACCTCCCCCAGATACCACCTCCACCAGGTGCCTGCCACTCACCTTGAGAGCACTGGCAGCGGATCTGCCCTGGGGACGGAACCCTCCCAGCGAGCTGATGGCCTGCGGAGTGAGTCCCACGTGCCCCATCACAGCAATACCCGCCTCAGATACCGCCCGCGCTGCTGCCACCCGCGCTGGGATGCCCCCCTCTATCTTCACTGCGTCCATGTTGCCTTCTTTTAACAGTCTCACTGCACTGTTCACTGCCTGAGGGTTTCACAAGGGAAGAACGGGAAGGGAAAGGCGGAAGCATGGTGCCTCAGCTGCTGCCACCCGCGCTGGAATGCCCCCCTCTATCTTGACCGCGTCCATGTTGACTTCTTTCAACAGTCTCACTGCACTGTTCACGGCCTGAGAATGTATTCAAGAGAGAGGGAGGGCGGGGAGAGGGGAAAGAGAACAGACACTGAAAACCACCTGCGCTGGAATGCCCCCCTCTATTTTCACTGCGTCCATGTTGCCTTCGTTCAACAGCCGCACTGTGCCCTCCACTGCCTGACAGATTCACCACAAGGGAAGAACAGGAAAGTAAGGGCAGAAGCTTGGTGCCTCAGCTGCCGCCACCCGCGCCAGTATGCCCCCAGCTATCTTCACACGTCCATGTTGCCTTCCTTGAGCAATCTCACTGCAGTCTCCACCGCCTGGGAGAGATCAAGGCGATAGGGGAGAGCAAGGGAAGCAATGGAAAGCATGGTGCCCCATCAGCTGCTGCCACCCGCGCTGGTATGCCCCCCTCTATCTTGACCGCGTCCATGTTGCCTTCTTTCAACAGCCGGACTGCACTGTTCACTGCCTGTGAATGTATTCAAGAGAGAGGGAGGGAGGGGGGGGGAGGGGAAAGAGAACACACATCGAATGCCACCCTCTATCTGACCTCTTTGCTCACCCGCTGCATTCCCACTGACCTGCTGTGAGCCCTGTGATCGTCTCACCTGCTGTGGGCTCTGCTCGTACGTGCCGAACGGAAGGTCGCCCACCAGCAACGGCCGAGAGGCTCCCCGTGCCACGGCCCTGGGTTGAGATATGCAAAAGGCAGGTGAGAGAGTGGGAGGACGGGAGGAATGGAAGGTGAGGAAGGGTTTGGGATGTGAGGTGGTGAGATGAAGGTCGCCCACCAGCAACAGCCGCGATGCCCCCCGTGCCACCGCCCTGTGCAGACATGGGAGGGGAGAAAGGGCGGGTAAGGAGGGAGATGTTTGCAGATGGGTTGCAATGCTGAGCACACGCATCCATTGGTCACCAGCAGCATACTCACCTGCAGTGCAGCAGCATGTCGTCGAGTGTGATGGGCAGGGTGGTGTCATACCCATGCACCACCATGGCTGCTGAATCGCCCACCAGGCAGATGTCTATGTCCGCCTGTGAGAGGGTGAATGGGAGGGAGGAAGGAGGGGGAAGAGGCAGTAGTGGGAAGAGCAGCTGGGGATGAAGGTTCACACCACCGTGGCTGCTGAATCGCCCACCAGGCAGATGTCTATGTTCGCCTGGAGAGGGTGAATGGGAGGGAGGAAGGAGGGGGAAGAGGCAGTAGTGGGAAGAGCAGCTGGGGATGAAGGTTCACACCACCGTGGCTGCTGAATCGCCCACCAGGCAGATGTCTATGTTCGCCTGTGAGAAGGGGCGGAGTGGGGAAACGCGGGGATGCGGGGGGGAAAGTAGTGGGGAGAGGAGAGGGGAGCAGCTAGGGATGAAGGTGCGATGTGTGTGCACCACCATGGCCGCTGAATCGCCCACCAGGCAGATGTCTATGTCCGCCAGGTTTTGGGTTCCAGGGACACGAAGGGAAGCAGGAGGGCTCGCCCTGCCATGGCCATGACAATGGGCTCGCCCTGCTGATACTTCCACAGCCCTCCTCCCTTACCATGGCCAAGTGCCAACCCTCCCCCCTCCCTTACCATGTCCACGTGCCAACCCTCCCCCCCGTCTTACCATGTACACATGCACAGCAGAGGGGTAGTCATAGGCCGTGACCATGACGATTGGCCATGGCCATGACAATGGGCTCGCCCTGCTGATACTTCCACAGCCCTCCTCCCTTACCATGGCCAAGTGCCAACCCTCCCCCCTCCCTTACCATGTCCACGTGCCAACCCTCCCCCCCGTCTTACCATGTCCACATGCACAGCAGAGGGGTAGTCATAGGCCGTGACCATGACGATTGGCCATGGCCATGACAATGGGCTCGCCCTGCTGATACTTCCACAGCCCTCCTCCCTTACCATGGCCAAGTGCCAACCCTCCCCCCTCCCTTACCATGTCCACGTGCCAACCCTCCCCCCCGTCTTACCATGTCCACGTGCACAGCTGAGGGGTAGTCATAGGCCGTGACCATGACGATTGGCTCGCCCCTACATACACAGTACTGCATACCTACCTGCACCCCAACACTCACCATGTCCACGTGCACAGCTGAGGGGTAGTCATAGGCCGTGACCATGACGATTGGCTCGCCCCGCCGGTACTTGCTCCCCACCTGCTGCAGCGTCACCCGCTGCCTCCCCGCCTCCGGCTTCGGCCCACCATACACCGTGCTGTCTGGCAGGTTGGAGAAAGACCGACGGAGGGAGGGCGCTCTGCCATACACCTGCTGCAGTGTCACCCGCTGCCGCCCCGCCTCCGGCTTCGGCCCACCATAGACTGTGCTATCCGGGAGATTGGAAAAGGACCTTCGATTCGACTCAAAAGCTGTCACCTGCTGCCGCCCCGCCTCCGGCTTCGGCCCACCATACACCGTGCTATCCGGAAGGTTGGAGAAAGACCGTCGAGACGAAACAAAAGCTGTCACCTGCTGCCGCCCTGCTTCGGGTTTCGGCCCACCGTACACCGTGCTGTCTGGAAGGTTGGAGAAAGATCGGTGAAGGGATGGCGCTCTGCTAGCGAGTGTGGTGTCTGAGTGGTTGGTGAACGATCGATGAAGGGAGGATGGATGAAGGAGGGTTCTGCTACACGCAGTGCTCTGTGGGAGGCTGGAGGAGAGTCGGCAGAGGAAGCTTCGCACGGGACTGATGAGGTGAGAGGACTGGTGTTGAGTGAGTGAGGGAGGCGGATGGGAGGAGGATAAGGGGCAGGGTGGCACGGGGGAGTAGGGAGACGATGCTGCCCGCATGGATGACATGTTGGTGGAAGCAAGGTGAGGAGAGGAGGATAAGGCAGTGGGAGTGGGGGAGTGGATGTCATGGTGGAGGGAGGAGAGGGAGTGGGATAAGATACGCGGGAGCTGCAGTGGGGTTCGGGAGATGAAAAAGAAAGAAAACAGAGCGTCCATGAGCCCAGCAAGAATCACATTGGGCATAGATGGAGGGAGTGGGATAGGATGCGCGGAAGCTGCAGTGGGGTTCGGGAGAGGAAAATAGATAAGAAGAAAGGAAAGAGGGGGGTGGAGGGAGGGGAAGTGACAAAAGGGAGGAGAAATGTCAGCGAACGAATTAGGCTGCGTGAATCACATTGCCACATAGTGGAAGGCACATCAACACACTAGAGACAGGAAAAGTGCTTGGACAGTTTTTTTTTCTGGCCGAAGTCGGATGGAGAAAGGCCACTGCAGGCTAACCTCGTCTGCGGTGAGGAATCTCAGCGCAGGAAACAGGTACGAAATAGACGAAATCTCAAGGGAACATATTTTCTTGGTTAACAAGGTTACCAAGAAGCAGAAGCATGCAGCAGTGCTGACAAAACGGATGGAAATCGACCGGATGACGTGTTTTGTGTCGACTCAAAGCGCATTTGGTTGCAAGGACGCAGCAGCACGCACCAGGGCTGACACGACGGCTGGGAGGTGATTGGACGATATGAGCTGCTGTAGATGCTGCGATTTCAACGCCATAACGCTGAATGTGCCAAATTCTTTCGGAAAGACCTTAGCGTTCACCCGAATATCGTTGAATGTGCTGAACGATTAGGTAACACGACCACGAGACGACGGGCTAATGCACGCCGCGAGGAATACGATTGATTTTGAGAAGTGAATATAAAGACGCAGTTAAAGTGAACGCGGGAAATGCGGCACCAAAGTCGCTTATGGTCAGGCTTTTCTAAGCGAACCGCTTCCAGCCCGGCTTGGCAGTCCAGGCGTGAATTATTGTGTATTGTTGTGAGATTCTGGATGAAATCCGTATTAGAAAGAATTTGTGACCCAGTTGTCCGTAAGGTGAGAAATCTATGAATATTTTGCCTTGGCTGGAGATTTTGGTTGCCAGGGTAGGATGGGTTACCATCGACCTGTCAGGCGGAACAACAATCGTCCCGTGAAACGAAAACGCGAACGGTGAGCGAAACACTGAAGTTGGATTTGGGCGTATACATGCGCTCTTGTCTCGTTAATTGCGGTTCAATTCGTCATACCGTGGTTAAGAACGGCATGTTATCTTCACCGCTACAGACCGACGCCAACCTAACTAAACCTCTCGCATTCAACTGGTAACGAAGGTCTCGTTTTTTCGCAAGAGAGCCATTGCAATTGGCTCTATCTCGCCTCGGGACACGAATTCTGCAATCCATTGTCCATGGAAACTAGTTCCCTCGATTTTATCCCAGTCGTTGTACCCTTCAGTCGATCTCTGCAGGAACGACGGCTTACGTGAAGGAGATTCGGAACTAGGAATTTGGAGCTGCTCCTCGCTCTTCGTTCTTCGCTCTTCGCTCGTCGTTCTTAGCTTCCCTCGGTAGCTCGACATTGCAGCCGATCGTTGGTCGTGAAAACTGAGCCTTCTTTCCGAATGTTTCTCGTTGTCTTTTCGTCTAGCACTTGATTATATCTGGTCTGCGCGGTGGCTCTCTTCAGATGTAGGCTCATAAAACACCAGTCTTGACAGAACTTGTTTATCGGCACTCCATTAAAAGGCCCGATCCGTGGTTCACATTAGCGACGGTTGCGGGAATGGCGGAGCGTGCTCTAACACAGAGAATAGCAAGCACCGTTGGCGGCCTGGTCGGCGACGAGAAGAGACTGCAAGCGGTAAGTAATTTCCTTTCACAGTCCAGGTCTACTTTTGAATCGACTCAAAAGTCACCTGATTGGCGACGAGAAGGGATTGCAAGCAGTAAGCGATTCCGGTTCACAGTCCAGGTCGTGACGTCGCTACCTCCTGCTCTTTCTGCCCTTCACGGCCTCCCCGTCTCCGTTTTCCTCTAAAAGGCGAATCAGGCTTGATGTAGGCGAATCTCAGCCGTCTGTCGTGTTGTCCTCTTCATCAAATTCCACTCTTGCGATTCATGCCCGTCATCGCTTTTCGTCATCCAGATTTCAGCTTGCAGATTATTGATGGCGAAAAGCGATGTGTAGATTCTGGTTGGTTCGAGGCACATTCATCTCATAATGCATCTCCACTCCTCCCTCCATGCTTATCGATTGCTAGCAGCTCTGCGCAACTGAAGCTTCTGGCAGAGGCGATGCGCGTTACCCCCTATTCATCGCTCTTCTTCCTCCATCCTTTTCACCCTTGTGCTCCCCCCCCCCCTCTGAATGCTCCTTGCATCCTTGCACTCACAGGAGATCGAGAGCAGCTCCGTGTAGCTCAAGCTACTGGCAGAGGCGTGTGTTCCCCCTCGTTCCATCTCTGCCCTCCCCCTCCCTCCCTCCCTCCCTCCATCATTGCACCCTTGTGCTTCCGCACACTCTGCATCCTTGCACCCACAGGAGATAGAGAGCAGCTCCGTGCAGCTCAAGCTGCTGGCAGAGGCGATGGCGAAAGAGGGCAAGATGGAGAGGGTAAGAGTAGAATCGGTTGGGGCATGATGAGAAGGGAATTGACTTATGAGGGAGTGGGGAGGGTGAGGGGAGGAGGAGGGGGTGTTTGAAGTGGGGGGTTTGGGTTGGTGTTGGGAAAGAGTGATGGGGCTGGTTGGGTTTGCTGCTTGGTTCTTCTTTCTGCCTTCCTCCACCTCTTTTCATGTTTGTGTTACCCCCTTGGTTGGTTTCATACCCTCGTTTGTGTTGCACCTTTGGTATTGTGTCATACCCTCGTTTGTGTTTGCACCTTCATCGTTATCACACCCTCGTTACTGCCGCACTCGCATGTGGCGGAGCTAGAGGCTATGACTCAAAATGTGGTGGAGACGGCTCATGATGATGAGGCTGAGTAAGAAACAGTTACCAGTACACTCTCGTTTGTGTCATACCCCTAAGTCTCACACCCTCGTTACTGTCACACACACCCACAGGTGGCGGAGCTAGAGGCTATGACTTGCAAGGTGTTGGAGATGGCTCATGAGGCGGCCCAGTAAGAGACAACTACCAATCACACTCTCGTTTGTGTCACACCCCTGTTTGTGTGACATCCCCGTTTTGTCACACTCCTGTTTGTGTCACACCCACCCACAGGTGGCGGAGCTAGAGGCAATGACTCTCAAGGTGGTGGAGACGGCTCATGAGGTGCCTGACTGAGAAACAGCTACTTGTACACTCTCGTTTGTGTCACACATTCATTTGTGTCACACTCCCGTCTGTTCTGTGTCACACCCACAGGTGGCGGAGCTGGAGGCAATGACTCGCAAGGTGGTGGAGACGGCTCATGAGATGGCTGAGTCGGAGACAGCTACCAGTACACTCGTTTGTGTCACACCCTGTTCGTGTCACACCTTCCTAACTGTCACACACACCGACAGGTAGCGGAGCTGGAGGCAATGACTCGCAAGGTGGTGGAGACGGCTCATGAGATGTCCCTGCATCAGCAGGCTCTGGAGGCAGTGCGCGACAGCTATCAGTACACTGGAACAGTAATGTACTCTTTATAGACATGCACTATTTATTGTCATGTATTCATTAAGCATTAGAGAGTAATGACCTATGAGATGTCTCTGCACCAGCAAGCACTGGAAGTAGTGTGCGACAGCTATCAATACACTGGAACAGTAATGTACTCTTTATAGACATGCACTATTTATTGTCATGTATTCATTAAGCATTAGAGAGTAATGACCTATGAGATGTCTCTGCACCAGCAAGCACTGGAAGTAGTGTGCGACAGCTATCAATACACTGGAACAGTAATGTACTCTTTATAGACATGCACTATTTATTGTCATGTATTCATTAAGCATTAGAGAGTAATGACCTATGAGATGTCTCTGCACCAGCAAGCACTGGAAGTAGTGCGCGACAGCTATCAGTACACTGGAACAGTAATGTACTCTTTATAGACATGCACTATTTATTGTCATGTATTCATTAAGCATTAGAGAGTAATGACCTATGAGATGTCTCTGCACCAGCAAGCACTGGAAGTAGTGTGCGACAGCTATCAATACACTGGAACAGTAATGTACTCTTTATAGACATGCACTATTTATTGTCATGTATTCATTAAGCATTAGAGAGTAATGACCTATGAGATGTCTCTGCACCAGCAAGCACTGGAAGTAGTGTGCGACAGCTATCAATACACTGGAACAGTAATGTACTCTTTATAGACATGCACTATTTATTGTCATGTATTCATTAAGCATTAGAGAGTAATGACCTATGAGATGTCTCTGCACCAGCAAGCACTGGAAGTAGTGTGCGACAGCTATCAATACACTGGAACAGTAATGTACTCTTTATAGACATGCACTATTTATTGTCATGTATTCATTAAGCATTAGAGAGTAATGACCTATGAGATGTCTCTGCACCAGCAAGCACTGGAAGTAGTGCGCGACAGCTATCAGTACACTGGAACAGTAATGTACTCTTTATAGACATGCACTATTTATTGTCATGTATTCATTAAGCATTAGAGAGTAATGACCTATGAGATGTCTCTGCACCAGCAAGCACTGGAAGTAGTGTGCGACAGCTATCAATACACTGGAACAGTAATGTACTCTTTATAGACATGCACTATTTATTGTCATGTATTCATTAAGCATTAGAGAGTAATGACCTATGAGATGTCTCTGCACCAGCAAGCACTGGAAGTAGTGTGCGACAGCTATCAATACACTGGAACAGTAATGTACTCTTTATAGACATGCACTATTTATTGTCATGTATTCATTAAGCATTAGAGAGTAATGACCTATGAGATGTCTCTGCACCAGCAAGCACTGGAAGTAGTGTGCGACAGCTATCAATACACTGGAACAGTAATGTACTCTTTATAGACATGCACTATTTATTGTCATGTATTCATTAAGCATTAGAGAGTAATGACCTATGAGATGTCTCTGCACCAGCAAGCACTGGAAGTAGTGCGCGACAGCTATCAGTACACTGGAACAGTAATGTACTCTTTATAGACATGCACTATTTATTGTCATGTATTCATTAAGCATTAGAGAGTAATGACCTATGAGATGTCTCTGCACCAGCAAGCACTGGAAGTAGTGTGCGACAGCTATCAATACACTGGAACAGTAATGTACTCTTTATAGACATGCACTATTTATTGTCATGTATTCATTAAGCATTAGAGAGTAATGACCTATGAGATGTCTCTGCACCAGCAAGCACTGGAAGTAGTGTGCGACAGCTATCAATACACTGGAACAGTAATGTACTCTTTATAGACATGCACTATTTATTGTCATGTATTCATTAAGCATTAGAGAGTAATGACCTATGAGATGTCTCTGCACCAGCAAGCACTGGAAGTAGTGTGCGACAGCTATCAATACACTGGAACAGTAATGTACTCTTTATAGACATGCACTATTTATTGTCATGTATTCATTAAGCATTAGAGAGTAATGACCTATGAGATGTCTCTGCACCAGCAAGCACTGGAAGTAGTGTGCGACAGCTATCAATACACTGGAACAGTAATGTACTCTTTATAGACATGCACTATTTATTGTCATGTATTCATTAAGCATTAGAGAGTAATGACCTATGAGATGTCTCTGCACCAGCAAGCACTGGAAGTAGTGCGCGACAGCTATCAGTACACTGGAACAGTAATGTACTCTTTATAGACATGCACTATTTATTGTCATGTATTCATTAAGCATTAGAGAGTAATGACCTATGAGATGTCTCTGCACCAGCAAGCACTGGAAGTAGTGTGCGACAGCTATCAATACACTGGAACAGTAATGTACTCTTTATAGACATGCACTATTTATTGTCATGTATTCATTAAGCATTAGAGAGTAATGACCTATGAGATGTCTCTGCACCAGCAAGCACTGGAAGTAGTGTGCGACAGCTATCAATACACTGGAACAGTAATGTACTCTTTATAGACATGCACTATTTATTGTCATGTATTCATTAAGCATTAGAGAGTAATGACCTATGAGATGTCTCTGCACCAGCAAGCACTGGAAGTAGTGTGCGACAGCTATCAATACACTGGAACAGTAATGTACTCTTTATAGACATGCACTATTTATTGTCATGTATTCATTAAGCATTAGAGAGTAATGACCTATGAGATGTCTCTGCACCAGCAAGCACTGGAAGTAGTGTGCGACAGCTATCAATACACTGGAACAGTAATGTACTCTTTATAGACATGCACTATTTATTGTCATGTATTCATTAAGCATTAGAGAGTAATGACCTATGAGATGTCTCTGCACCAGCAAGCACTGGAAGTAGTGTGCGACAGCTATCAATACACTGGAACAGTAATGTACTCTTTATAGACATGCACTATTTATTGTCATGTATTCATTAAGCATTAGAGAGTAATGACCTATGAGATGTCTCTGCACCAGCAAGCACTGGAAGTAGTGTGCGACAGCTATCAATACACTGGAACAGTAATGTACTCTTTATAGACATGCACTATTTATTGTCATGTATTCATTAAGCATTAGAGAGTAATGACCTATGAGATGTCTCTGCACCAGCAAGCACTGGAAGTAGTGCGCGACAGCTATCAGTACACTGGAACAGTAATGTACTCTTTATAGACATGCACTATTTATTGTCATGTATTCATTAAGCATTAGAGAGTAATGACCTATGAGATGTCTCTGCACCAGCAAGCACTGGAAGTAGTGTGCGACAGCTATCAGTACACTGGAACAGTAATGTACTCTTTATAGACATGCACTATTTATTGTCATGTATTCATTAAGCATTAGAGAGTAATGACCTATGAGATGTCTCTGCACCAGCAAGCACTGGAAGTAGTGTGCGACAGCTATCAATACACTGGAACAGTAATGTACTCTTTATAGACATGCACTATTTATTGTCATGTATTCATTAAGCATTAGAGAGTAATGACCTATGAGATGTCTCTGCACCAGCAAGCACTGGAAGTAGTGTGCGACAGCTATCAATACACTGGAACAGTAATGTACTCTTTATAGACATGCACTATTTATTGTCATGTATTCATTAAGCATTAGAGAGTAATGACCTATGAGATGTCTCTGCACCAGCAAGCACTGGAAGTAGTGTGCGACAGCTATCAATACACTGGAACAGTAATGTACTCTTTATAGACATGCACTATTTATTGTCATGTATTCATTAAGCATTAGAGAGTAATGACCTATGAGATGTCTCTGCACCAGCAAGCACTGGAAGTAGTGTGCGACAGCTATCAATACACTGGAACAGTAATGTACTCTTTATAGACATGCACTATTTATTGTCATGTATTCATTAAGCATTAGAGAGTAATGACCTATGAGATGTCTCTGCACCAGCAAGCACTGGAAGTAGTGTGCGACAGCTATCAATACACTGGAACAGTAATGTACTCTTTATAGACATGCACTATTTATTGTCATGTATTCATTAAGCATTAGAGAGTAATGACCTATGAGATGTCTCTGCACCAGCAAGCACTGGAAGTAGTGTGCGACAGCTATCAGTACACTGGAACAGTAATGTACTCTTTATAGACATGCACTATTTATTGTCATGTATTCATTAAGCATTAGAGAGTAATGACCTATGAGATGTCTCTGCACCAGCAAGCACTGGAAGTAGTGTGCGACAGCTATCAATACACTGGAACAGTAATGTACTCTTTATAGACATGCACTATTTATTGTCATGTATTCATTAAGCATTAGAGAGTAATGACCTATGAGATGTCTCTGCACCAGCAAGCACTGGAAGTAGTGTGCGACAGCTATCAATACACTGGAACAGTAATGTACTCTTTATAGACATGCACTATTTATTGTCATGTATTCATTAAGCATTAGAGAGTAATGACCTATGAGATGTCTCTGCACCAGCAAGCACTGGAAGTAGTGTGCGACAGCTATCAGTACACTGGAACAGTAATGTACTCTTTATAGACATGCACTATTTATTGTCATGTATTCATTAAGCATTAGAGAGTAATGACCTATGAGATGTCTCTGCACCAGCAAGCACTGGAAGTAGTGTGCGACAGCTATCAATACACTGGAACAGTAATGTACTCTTTATAGACATGCACTATTTATTGTCATGTATTCATTAAGCATTAGAGAGTAATGACCTATGAGATGTCTCTGCACCAGCAAGCACTGGAAGTAGTGTGCGACAGCTATCAATACACTGGAACAGTAATGTACTCTTTATAGACATGCACTATTTATTGTCATGTATTCATTAAGCATTAGAGAGTAATGACCTATGAGATGTCTCTGCACCAGCAAGCACTGGAAGTAGTGCGCGACAGCTATCAGTACACTGGAACAGTAATGTACTCTTTATAGACATGCACTATTTATTGTCATGTATTCATTAAGCATTAGAGAGTAATGACCTATGAGATGTCTCTGCACCAGCAAGCACTGGAAGTAGTGTGCGACAGCTATCAATACACTGGAACAGTAAT